TGTATGGACCTGATTGCGAAGCTACCCTGTGTTGCAGCAAAGATCTACCGGAATCTTTACCGGGAAGGCAGCAGCATTGGGGCCATTGACTCTAAGCTGGACTGGTCCCACAATTTTACCAATATGTTAGGCTATACTGATGCACAGTTCACCGAGCTTATGCGTTTGTACCTCACCATCCACAGGTAAGTTAGATTTAATAATTATACCCCTTAAATGCCTGGATTGAGCTGGGTGGTGGTGGTGCACACCTTTAATCTCAGCACCCAGGAGGCAGAGGCAGGTGGATCTCTGCGAGTTTGAGGCCAGCCTGGTCTACAAAGCAAGTTCCGGGACAGCCAGGAACTGTCTGGGGGGATGGGGGTGGGGAGGCAACCCTGGATTGATGGGAAACTCTTTGATTTGGATTGAGGTTTTTTGGGGTTTTGTTTTTTCTTTTTCTTTTTTTTTTTTTTTTTTTTTTTTTTGGAGACACAGAATCTTTCTACATAGCCCTGGTCCTGGAACTCGCTATATAGATCAGGCTGGCCTCAAACTCATAAAGATCCTCCAGAGCTGCCTCTGCCTCCCAAGTGCTAGGAATAAAGGCGTGTGCCACCGTGCCCAGCATTGAGGGTAGGGGTAGTACTACATTTTAAAGTTCCTTAATGTTATTATTTAGGAACACATGACCTGTATAGCAAAGGGGTATATGTATAAACATCTTGCAAGGATTGAAACTTGGCAAGAAATAAGGAAGAAAAGCTGAAAGCTTTAGGGGAATTGCTTCTGATTTGAAAAAAACACACGAGTCCGTCAGCTTTCCAGGAGCTCCCTCTTCTGGTCACCATTATTAAAATGGGGGAGATAGCTGAGACTGTAGCTCAGTGCTAATGCATGCTTTGAGCTCTGTATTTGACCCTAACATTAGAAGTGGGGTGGAGAGAGGGAGTAGGCACAGCTGACCGGCTAGGGTGTCAGGATCCCAGAAGGCCAGGATCTGACAAGAGAAAAGCAGTGTCTGTTGTAATCAGCCCTTTCCTTTCTCACTCTGGCTCTGCCTCATGTCCCCACAGTGACCATGAGGGTGGTAACGTAAGTGCCCACACAAGCCACCTGGTGGGCAGTGCCCTTTCAGACCCCTACCTGGCCTTTGCAGCAGCCATGAATGGGCTGGCAGGGCCGCTCCATGGACTAGCCAATCAGGTAAGACTAGCTTTTTTTTCCCCGGTCTGTGTTTTTTACTCACATGATCTGTCCCCCATCTTGACACCCTTTCCTTGGCATGTGTATTGACATTCTTCTTCCCATCCTAAACTTCCCATAGGAAGTGCTTGTCTGGCTAACACAGCTACAGAAGGAAGTTGGCAAAGACGTGTCAGATGAGAAGTTACGAGACTACATCTGGAATACACTCAACTCAGGACGGGTAAGCAACCAAGAAAGAGACTAAGACCCAAACACTGAAATTTGAAAGACAATTCCAGGCTATTGAGACCTTGTCTCAAGGGAAAAAAATAAAAGAATAAAAGCAGCCCCTGCATTAGCTAGAAAACTGCCTCTTTTATTGTTTCCCCATTTGTTTGCCTTGTGGATTTAGTTTTATTTTTTATGATGCTTGGGCTTGAACCCAGCATCTCCGGCTAGCAAGGCAAGTGCTCTACCACCTGTTTTCCCAGCCGCTGCTTGCTTGCTTGCTTGCTTTATTTATTTATTTTTGTGGTTTTTTTGTTTGTTTGTTTGTTTGTTTTGGTTTTTTTGAGAGAGGGTTTCTCTGTAGCTTTGGAGCCTGTCCTGGAACTAGCTTTTGTAGACCAGGCTGGCCTCAAACTCACAGATCTGCCTGCTCTGCCTCCCTGAGTGCTAGGATTAAAGGCGTGCACCACCACCACCGCCGGACTGCATTATCTTTTTATTTAGAGACAGGGTTTTCACTGAATCACCCAGGCTGACTTTGAATTTACAGTCCTGCTTGAGCCATCAGGACCAAATGATCTGAATGGGGACAGTTCTTCCTGAATATGCCAGCTCTGTGATTTCCCCCCCTTTGCAGGTTGTCCCAGGATATGGTCATGCAGTGCTAAGGAAGACTGACCCACGGTATTCCTGCCAGAGAGAGTTTGCTCTGAAACATCTGCCTAACGACCCTCTGTTTAAGCTGGTTGCTCAGCTGTACAAGATTGTGCCCAATATCCTCTTAGAGCAAGGGAAGGCCAAGAATCCTTGGCCCAACGTAGATGCTCACAGTGGGGTGCTGCTCCAGGTGAGTCCGTTCTCCCTGCCTGCCTTCTCACTGTACCACAGTTTTGTTCTTTGCTCTTCACAAAACTCCCTAATCAGAATAAGGGCAAGGAACCCAAAGCCTCATGCAGGGCCCTTTTGGCTTGGAACTCTGTGTAGACCAGCTTGACCTGGAACTCAGATCCACTGCCTCTTCAAGTGCTTTGAATGAAGGCCTGGCACTTTTTCTAGTTAGTTGGTGGTAAATGTGTTTATGTGTCTGTGTATGTGCTGGCACATGCATGTGCATGTGGATGCCAGAGGTGATGTCAAGTGTTTTCCTCTGTTACTTTTTTTAAAAAAATATATTTATTTATTTATTTATTGTGTATACAATATTCTGCCTGCATGTATTGCCTGCAGGCCAGAAGAGGGCACCAGACCTCATTACAGATGGTTGTGAGCCACGGTGTGGTTGCTGGGAATCGAACTCAGGACCTTTGGAAGAGCAGGCAATGCTCTTAACCACTGAGCCATCTCTCCAGCCTCCTCCTCTGTTACTTTTCATCTTACTTTTTGGAGACTTTTTTTTTTAAATATTTATTTATTTATTATGTATAGAATATTCTTTCTGTGTGTAATGCCTGAAGGCCAGAAAAGGGCACCAGACCTCATTACAGATGGTTGTGAGCCACCACGTGGTTGCTGGGAATTGAACTCAGGACCTCTGGAAGAGCAGGCAATACTCTCAACCGCTGAGCCATCTCTCCAGCCCTGGAGACTTTTTTTTATCTTACCTTTTGGAGTCTCTTAGTGAACCTCTAGGGTCATCCCATCCTGCTCACAGGATTTCAGGTATATGCTATTACACCCTGCTTCTGTGTGCATGCTGGGAATCTGAACTCAGGTCCTAAGTCTCGAAAGGCAAACCGTCTACCAACCAATATGTTTCCTTGGCCTCTGGCCTTAAGCTTTTGACCTCCTGCCTCGGCCTCTTAAGTAAAAGTAGATAGAATTTCAGGTCTACAGCACTGGGTTCCCCTAGAGCAGGGTCTCCTCTAGCCTCCCTCACAGAGCCCTTTGACACAATCAAGCTCTTGACTGAGCTGCAGCTGTATTACTTTTCCTAATGTTCTTTCAAATTATTTAAGGCTGAGTGGGCTAAGACTATGGATAAAAGGGGGAATGGAGTCTCTAAGGTTTTTGTTGCCATAGACTTGTGTGTGCCTGGCTTTTAATAAAGCTTTTTTCTCTTCTACCCTAACAGTACTATGGCATGAAGGAGATGAATTACTACACGGTCCTGTTCGGAGTGTCGAGAGCACTGGGTGTGCTGGCACAGCTCATCTGGAGCAGAGCCCTAGGCTTCCCTCTAGAGAGGCCCAAGTCCATGAGCACGGACGGTCTGATGAAGTTTGTGGACTCTAAGTCAGGGTAAAACGGGAGATTGCGGGAAACTGACTATAAGAAAACGAGGAAGCTTAAAATAAAGTATAATTTTGTTTTGTTTCAGGGGCCTTTAAGACTTAAGATTAACCTGTATCCGAGGCACTGAAAATACATTGAAGTTAAAATATAAATTAAGACTTAAAAGATGAAAAGCAACCCCTTCTTCCCTCACCAACTCACTTCCCTCCCTGGTATGAGTTGTCTACCAACTCCAGGACTAATGCATGTGGTCAGGTTAGATCTGGCTACCCACCATCTCTAGAGCGAGAGTCTGGCTCCTCTTGTTTAGGTCAAAGCAGGTTACAGAAAAGCTGCAGTCATTCTGTGAAGCTTTTGCTTCTACCCTACCAGTCCTCTGAGCTACTGAGGCCAGGGCCAGGCCCTGTTTGTTTCCATAGGAATCATGTTGGGTGTCAGCTGTGTCAAACCCTAAGGCCTTTTCCTGTGTACGCAAGCACTTCCTAGAAAGATCTATTGGTTAGCTGGAAATGAATATTGGTTATTTGGCAACTTTTGATGCTATCAGGTGGCCATAAATGGCATATTTATTTTACTGGTACCCAGCATTTGATTCTATTTCTCTCTTTAAACTATACCATTAAATTAAGGTCTGCAAGTGTTCTGTTTCCTCCCAGACTTCCTATACCTGCTGTGCCTCAGCTGAGGAGGCTCTGGGTCTCCCTGTCCTAGCCTCGGCTAGGGTCCTCTTAGCAGGTCTGTGATCTGTGGTCTTCCCAGTCATTTGGCTTTTCAGTACTTAATGTGAACTAGGCCTTTTACTTCCATGGAACATAAGCCACTCTCTTCTGACCTTGGTTTATTCTGTTAATATGCTCTGACACATAGAACAAGGGCTCAGGAATGACCAGCCTCTTCATGGGCTGGTCCCAGGGGTTCTAGCCTTTCTTTTTGAACAGAAAAATGACTTGCGATTAGACATAGTTCCCTTTGAATATCAGTTGGACCTAGGGCTGAGGGCATTCAAAACAGTGAGCCGCCTTCTCATCCCCTGCGTCGAGGACATGTCCCTTTATTTATCGAGGTCACTCTTGCTCTTCCCTTACGAGCTCACAGTATGGTGGTTATCTTAGCAGCCCCGTCTGCACAGGTTTCCAGTGACTCAGAAGCTATATTGCCTTTTCTTTGAGAAAGGGTTGAGATACACTCCTGTTTTGCTCCCTCCCTACCCCAGACTCCTGCCTGCGTTTGTGTGGAACCCAAACCCCAACACCACACTGTTGAGATGGACACACTGTAAACCCCTGGGTAACTGTTAAGTCATGATGCAGACTTCAGGTTGTTATGTATAAAATGAAAAATAATAAATGTTTTTATTAACAATGCTTGAGCTTGCTATTACATAGGCCTGAAAGAATCATTATGAGGTAAGAAATATGGTAGGAAGGTCTGCACTAGTGGGCGAGTTGGACATGCAGAGGGAAGGCTGCTTACCAAAGACGTTCAGTCTTTTTCCCAAGGTTGGGGAGTCCTTTACCTTTAACCCCCATCCCTCTCTGTTATAGAGACCTCACAAGTATTTGCCTGACTAATCCAGGAGCTGGTCTAGCCCAGTGGGTGAAAGGCACAAGGACAAATGGAGGACTGCTAGCTCCAGACTTAAGACACAGAGGGTGCTTATAGTTAGTGCCTCTCCCTACTACTTTCCCTAAGGAGGCCTCCCAAAATAAGGGCTGGTCCTGGGGGCATTAGACTATGGGAGATCTAAGGCTGTCCTGCTACAGCTGGCCTTCTGGAAAAAAGTCTATAAATAGGCAAGAAGGTAGGTAGTAGGTCCTGGCATGCAGGGCGTGCTACTATAGTTAGCAGGGATGCCGTGTCCAAGAGGCTGCCTTACACCTTCATTCCCACAGGAAAGGAAGCTGTGACTTCTACTCTGCTTATATGTTACCCCCGCCCCTACCCTGAGAAACAATACCAAAAAAAGCAAATTCACACTGTCACAATTTATTGAAGTTTTATAAAAACTCAGGCCACGTGGAAGAAAAAGGTACATCCCAACACTGTTTAAGGAATTCCTCCTCCTTTGCTCTGTGGCACTGGTGTGAAGCAGCTCCTCACTTTCTACCCGTCAGACAGCATGGACATGTTCCTAAGCTGAGGCAGGTTGCCTTTCGCTTCTCCTGAGAAATCTTAGCGGGGGTCAAAGTTACTTGCCAGCCAGTACCTCTGTGTGAGGAAGTTACTACTATATCCGCCTGACCTGGTCCAGAGACTACAGCTCTGGGTTTATTCGGTGTGAAGCAGCCATGGGCACAAGGCATTTGCTGTGTATCTCACTCCCACATGTGCTGTCTTCCCCACATGTCCAGCCAGCATGCAGCCAGTTTAGGAAGAATCGAGAGGTGAAACTTAGACCTCTCTCTGAGCAAGAGCCAAAACAAATAAATAAAAATTGGGTGGGAAGAGGGGGTGGAGGCAAGGGAACAATCCTTTGTCTCAAGTCTGGTGCACCTCATGGAACATCAATTCACGGGGGATGGCTGTTTCTGGACCAAACTTAGTGGCCGCCCGGCGCTCAAAGGCAGCAACATTCTGTTTGACAACCTCATCAAAAAACATGGTCGCCAGCTGGGAGTGCAGCAGAGAACGAAATTCAAAGGAAATCTGGAAATGCATAAGAGACAGAAACTTCAAGGCCATGTTGGAAGGATACTAATCTGTACTGCCTTCTTTACATCCCCCTCCAGACATCACCTAAGAAGCGTAACTTAAAAATGAGCAAAATGCAAATCTGATAGACTTAGACCTCTGAATACGTAGTGAAGTGTTTAGTGCTTAGTTTTACCCTCATGCCTGGTCCAAGGTCTGTGCCATGAAACCCGACTCACCGAGAAGTCCACAGTGCAGGTTCGAGGGTAGGCAGGAATACCAGGGCTGAATCTCCAAATAGTCTCTAAGTGGTTAAAGAGCTTGCCATCAGTGCACACCGCCTAGAATAGGATACATTTGGCTAGTTAACTCCCATTGTTAAGAGGGGAAGTGTAAAGGAGCTAGAGCAGCCATTGTCAACCTGTGGGTCACCCAAGACCATCCGAAAACAGGGATGGTCACATGATTCACAACAGTAGCAAGGTTATAGTTACAAAGTAACAACAAAAGTAACTTTATGGTTGGGGCTCACCACAACATGGGGAACTGTATTAAAGGGCCACAGCATTAGAAAAGTTGAGGGCCTGAGGGTTTAGCTTCGTGGAACTACCGCATAGTATGTGTGATGTCGTGTTGGCCCAGCACCACCACCACGATAACTGACTTTCCCTTTAATGTTAGGCGAACACTTCACATGTAGAAATCAAGTAATTACAGGAAAGGCCAAAAATAACCCTTGAATATGAAACTGCTAAGGAAAATACCCTGAATCCTCCCAGACAGGCCTCACCTTGACCATGTGTGGTTTGACCATGGAGACCGCAGAGGTATAACGTTCCAAGACAGGTGGAAACCCAACCTCCAACTGGGCTTTCAGGTGACCCTTACGGCTGGATACTACCAGTGACTTTTTACACCACGGCACAAACTCTCGGTACTCCTGGACATTGGACACCACCTCATACATCTCCTGCATTGAGTACCTAGAACGAAAGGAATCGGAGACCAAGAGCTGCCAGCTGGGTCAAGGTCCTCCTTGCCACTTGCCCTGACACAATCTTTGCCCACAAACCAGGCACCCAAAGAGACCTGGATGATACATTATTTTATCCCAATAGAGGCTTTAGATGACAGGATGTCAGTTTTATTGGTAGCCAAGTCTTTTTTTTTTACATTTTACTATTTTGTATATGTATGTATGGAACGTGTGGAGAGCAGAGAAAAAGCAGCCAGTTCTTCTAGCTTGTGGAGTTGAGGAATCAAATTTGATTGGGTCTTTATGCTTGGTGCCAAGTGCTGGGCCATTGGATTATTTTTTTGTTTTTAAATATTTATTTATTTATTATGTATACAATATTCTGTCTGTATGCCTGAAGGCCAGAAGAGGGTGCCAGACCTCTTTACAGATGGTTGTGAGCCACCATGTCGTTGCTGGGAATTGAACTCAGGACCTTTGGAAGAGCAGGCAATGCTCTTAACCACTGAGCCATCTCTCCAGCCCCGCCATTGGATTATTTTGAAAAGACAATCTTTTGTGGCTCAGGCTGACCTTAAACCACTATGGGCACAAGCTGGCTTCCAATTCATGATCCTCCTGCCTCAGCAGTGCTGGGAACAACTCTACAACTTATTAGTGTGGTCTTAGGTAAACTACCTATGCCTCCTTTTTTTTTTTTTTTGGTTTTTCGAGACAGGGTTTCTCTGTGGTTTTGGAGACTGTCCTGGAACTAGCTCTTGTAGACCAGGCTGGTCTCGAACTCACAGAGATCCGTCTGCCTCTGCTTCCCAAGTGCTGGGATTAAAGGCGTGCGTGCCTCCTTTTATCTATAATACACGAGCAAATAATACTCAGTTCATTTGTTTGTGAGGACGAAATGAGACAGTTTATGTAAAATACCTACCTGTATAGACTGGAGGCATAGTTAAGTTAGTAGAACACTTATTTGGCGTGAAGCCTTAGGTTCTGTCACCAGCACCACATAGACTGGATGGAGAGATGGCCCATTGGTTAAGAGCACTGACTGCTCTTTCAGAGGACCCGGGTTTGATTTCCAGAACCCATAGCTTACAACCTCTGTAAGGAGGATCAACTCTGGTCTCCAAAAACACTTGCACTCATGTATGTGCATACAGTTACACATCATTAAAACTCTTAAAATAAACGGGGGGCTGGAGAGATGGCTCAGCGGTTAAGAGCATTGCCTGCTCTTCCAAAGGTCCTGAGTTTCATTCCCAGCAACCACATGGTGACTCACAACCACCTGTAATGAGGTCTGGTGCCCTCTTCTGGCCTTCAGGCATACATGCAGAAAGAATATTGTATACATAATAAATAAGTTTTAAAATAAATAAAATAAATAAATGGGTGTGGTAGTACTCACCTGTAATTCAGCATTTAGGATTGCTCACCCATTCAGCCTAGCAGCTAGTACATAATGAGGCTCAAAATAATACCCCGGGTCTTTTTCTTCTTTAATATGTTATTTCTAGTACCACAAGCCTTTAATCCCAGCACTCAGGAGGCAGGTGGTCTACAGTGAGTTCCAAGGCGTCCAGGGCTGTTACATAGACCTGACTCAAATAATTACGTAGTATTTTGCATTTGTTTATCTGTGTGTGGGAGCTGTGCCACAGTGCACTCTGAGATCAGAAGACAACTCCCGAGTGGACTCTGCCGTTCCACCATGTTGATCAAACTCAGGTCATCACTCTTGGCAGCCTCCAGAGCCATCTGACCACCACCACCACCCCGTTTTTAAACAAGGTCTAGCAGTGTAGCCTGTAGTGCAGGTTAGTGGGGTGAAGCTGATAGGGATCCTGCTGCCTAAGCCTCCGGCGTGCTAAAGTTGTAAGCATGTACTCGTCACTACTGAGTTTTCTTTAATTATGTGTATGTTTCGGGGAGGGTATGGGCACATGAATGCTTGTGCCTACAGAGTCCAGAGCAGGATGCAAGATCTCTGGAGCTGGAGTCATTAAACAATTTCATAGTTAAACCATCTTTAGGCCTATTTTTATGTGTATGGGTGTTTTGTCTGCATGTATGTTTGTGCACAATGTGTGTGCTGGCGCTTGAAGAGGTGGTAAACCTCCATGTGGGGCTGGGAATCAAACCTGGGTGCTTTGTAGCAAGTGCTCTTAACCACTGAGCCGACTCTCCAGACCCTATAGTTTAAGTTTTTAAAAGCATTTTTGTTGCAGCTAGGTATTGTGATGCATGCCTTTATCGCAGCATTTGGGAGGCAGAGGCCATTTGATCTCTGTAAGTCCCAGGCCAGCCAGGGCTACATAATAAGACCTTGTCACAAAACAAAAATGAAGCCTGGTATAGTGATGCAAGCCTTTAGTCCCAGCACTCGGGGCAGAAGCAGGCAGATCTCTGAGTTAGAGGCCAGTCTGGTCTATATAATTACAAGGTGGACAGTCAGGGGTACATAATGAGATCCTGGCTCAAAAAAACAAACAAACTGGAAAGTGGTTTCTTAGCATGCACAGGGTCTAGGCTCAATCCTCAGCGCTGCATGAAACCAGCACGGTGGCACACAGCACGGTGGCACACGCCTGTAATCCCCGCTCTAGAGAGGTAGGTGGAGACAGGATAGTTAGAAGTTCAAGGCCAACTTAGGCTACGTGAGACCCTGTCTCAAGTGTGTGTGTAAAGTAAGTGTGACGCAGGCTCTGGGCTATGTAACCCAGGGAGACTACAAGCTTGCAATCCTGCCTCTGGCCTCCAGCGCTGAGATTACAGGTCGGCCTGTACTTGATAACGTTTCTATGAGGTAACCCAATTCTAGACTCATTTAATGCAGGGGCAGAGCAACCGAGGAGGGAAATTTAGGTTGGGAGGCTAGCAGCAAAAACATTGCTGGGGAGGTGGGTGGTCCAATATGGATTTTACCAACTATCAGCACGTGGTTATTTATTTGGAGTGAAAGAGAAGGATGCTCACCCCATGATCCTACGCTCCGAGTAAGCCTTCCTCTTGTTGGTGAAGGGAGCAGCAAAGCCCATGAAGGAACGACTGGGAGGTAGGCCAGCCTCAGCCGCCAAGACCTGGGCAGCGCGAGGCAAGAAGAGGTTACAGGAAATCAGAAACCTAGCACCAAAAGGAAAGGAGAGGCAGCGTCACGGTTCTTTTTTTTGCATTCAGTCAATTCCAGGTGAAGGGGAAGAGGGATGCATCACGGAGGAAGGTCGTTCGGGCAAGCCCTTCTCCCCCCAGCACCTGCTCCAGCTAGCGGGGCTGGCTGGCTGGCCAGGCAGTCACGAGTGCGAAAGGTCGAGGGCGGCTGAGGACAGGGCCAGGGGTGGGGATGGGAAAAAGACGGACACGGCCGAGGTGCCAGCTGCCTTTGGAGCAACGCTACTGCTGCAAGCAAACTCGTAGCATCCCCGTGCCCACGGTCCGGCCGGGCCCATCAAAGCCAGGGCGCCCGCGAAGCCGAGAAGAGGCTGGCACACACCACCCCGAGCATGTAACTTGTATCTCCAGAGCTCCAATCGGGCTCCCAGGGCGCTACCAATGCCGACCCTTCTCCGACCCGCCATGTAAGGGCTGCCACCCTCCACCGCAGAACTTCGGGGTGCCGGCCGGGCGACCCCCTCCCGTCCCGAGCGGATGCCCGGGTCCGCCTCTCACCTCATTGGCCGCGGCGGCCGCGGAGGGCCCGGGGGCGGGGGCGGGACCGCGCGCGTGCCCGGGCGGAGCGAGAAGCCGCAGCAGCTCCGGGCGGCCGCGCGCGTCGGGGCCGGGAGCCTCCGCGCGCCCGCAGAGGCCATGCGCGCGCCCGTCCCTAGTACTCGGGGCTGCGGCGGCTGCGGAGGAGGCCGGGCGGGAAGGGCGGCGGGCGCGGGCTCCGGATGCCTTCTCCCTGCTCCGGCCCGCGCGCCGAGTAGGCTAGCACTGACCGCAGCTCCGGGTCCCCTCACGTCACGCCGTTGCCAGGGATCTGGAGTGGGAGAGCGAGGGAGGAAGGAAAGGGCAACGCTGCCTGTCGGGAGATGTAGTTTCTTTGACACCTCTAGCGAGAGAGCGAGGGCGCCGGGTGCGCGTCTGAGGAGCTATAGCGATTAAGCTGGGGGAGCGAGGTCGCCTGGCACAAACTACTTGGCGAGGCTGTGGTCACAGGACCTGATACGTAGGCGCAGAGGCGACGTCGTGGGCGGGTCAACGGCAGATGTGTCCGTAGCTGTCCCGAGCTAGGGCTCCACAAGCCCTTTAGCGTTGCAAGGCTCCCGCTCAGCTCGGTGGGCTTCGCAGTGTCTGCTGCTGATTTGTGTCTCTGGAAAAGGATATTAACGTTGCAAGCTCTGGGCTGACTTGAATTTCCCATCGCTCTCCACTCCCTCTTCTCCCCCCCTCGTTATTCTAGACAAGATATTCAGCTTCTCCTGGGCTGGCCTTGAATTCGCAGTCCTTCACGAACGTCCCTAGGAACACAATTTCCCCTTAATATTTATGAGAAGAGGTCAGCGGCCGAGGCAGGAGGGTTGCCACGAGTTTCAAGCCAGCCTGGGCTACATAGCCAGTTGGAGAATAGCCCGATCTACACATTGAGGCAAGCCTCAGTCTCAAACCAAACATAAGACATGTTTTGTTTTTTTAAGGCTCCCTCACTGTGTAGGCCAGACTGGTTTGGAGCTCTCAGAGGTCCTTGGCTGCTGTGGTTTCGGGCATGAACCTCAGGTGGCAATCACGTTAGGGAGTTTTTTTTGAGACATGACCTTGGTCTGTAACTTGTGTTGACCTCAAACTCACAGGAATTCTCTTGCCACAGCTTCCTAGTTGCTGGTATTTCAGATGTGAGACATCACAGCTGGCCAAATTTTACTTTTAGAGAAAAGAACCATCATTGTCTGGAAAAACATGTACTCAATGGAAGATGAGACATCACAGTTCAAGCCCGACAGTGAATACCACTTATTACTTCCCATGATTCAAGGAGAAAACGATTGCTCTTGGTAAAAGTAGATAGATACAAACAGGGGCTGGAGAGATGGCTCAGTGGTTAAGAGCCCTGACTGCTTCAATTCCCAGCACCCACATGACAACCCACAACTGACTGTAACTCCAGTTCCAGGGAATCGAACTTCTTCAGACACAGAAATACATGCAGACAAAACACCAATGCACATAAAATAAAAATAAGTTAATTATCTTTAAGGAAATTTGCTGATTATGGGCTGGAGCACTGGCTGGCTGCTCTTCCAGAGGTCCTGAGTTCAATTCTCTGCAACCACATGGTGGCTGACAGCCATCTGTAATGAGATCTGGCGCCCTCTTCTGGCCTTCAGTACAGAACGCTGTACAAACACACACACACACACACACACACACACACCCCAAAGGAAAAAGAGAGAAGAGAAACAAACTACAAATTACAAAGAGACTAGACCTAGATGGATGTAAGAGCAAGCACAATTCTGTCAAGTGCGGCTGAATTTAAGGACGTTGGGACTGTCACGGAGCCTGATAATCAAAGGTGGTGGCAGCGAGAGGACAGGCAGGCAAAGCTACATTGTGATGCAAGTCGAATGGTTTTACACAAATGAGGCCCTGGATCCCATCTCACAGCCAAGACAGGCTGGCCAGATGGCTCAGTGGGTAAAGGTGCTTGCTGCCAAGCCTGATCTGCATTCAATCTCCAGGACCTGCATGGAAAGAGCCTTCTCCTCTGACCTACACGCGTGCGCGCGCATACACTTAATAAAAAGTTTGGTGTTTTTTTTTTTTTTAAATGACTCTTTTCCTTTTGCTCCCTTTCTTCCACCTTCCTGAGGGAATGAAACCCCCAGCTACAGAATATTTTCATTTTTTTTCTTCTGACACCTCTCTCTCTAGGCACCTCAGGGAGGGCCTGGTGTGCGCTCTTCCCTTCCTCACTACAGTTACTGGAATTTCCTTCCAGTCTGAAGTGGTGTTCTGAGGGCGCGTGACCTTGAAGGGCAGCCACTTGTCAGGTCAGCGTCACCCTCTGGTCTGAACCCACCTCTGACGTAGGAGACAGCTGCTCAGAGTGAGCAGGAAGGAGCATGTTGAGGAAAAGAGAGAAGTTAACTGGGATACATGACTGAACTATGACCTCATTAGCACTCTGCCTTCACTGAGCTAACTTGCTTCAGAATCCCTAAGGTCCAGTAGCCCTACAAAACCAATTTGCTTGCTGTTCTTCAACTAATTAAATAGCTAATTACTTCCGCTTAATCCTTGCCTAGTTCACTCCGTTAGCTCTTGTTGTGCCCCTGCCATCTACAGTTCCTTCCATGTCTTCCTCCAGGAAGACTCTCGACTGAACCCTGAACGCAGAATTCAATGTAAACAAGCATACATCCTGTGTTTTCTCATTCATTGTTTCATGTGTTTGCTTTATTTTCAAAAAGAGACACTTGCCGTAACTTAAAAGTTTCTTAAAAACACAAACAAACAAAAACCTTCTGTTTTGTTTAGTTTTGAGACAGGGTTTCACGTAGCTCAGGCTTTCCTCAAACTTATTATGTAACCAAAGTTGGCCTTGAACTCCTGATATTCCTCCTAAATGTGGAGGTTACAGACTTATGATACCATACTTGGCTATAACTCCTTTCTTGTTTGTTTTGAGACAAATTCTTTTTTTTCTTTTTTTTTAAATATTTATTTATTATATATACAATATTTTGTCTGCGTGTATGCCTTCAGGCCAGAAGAGGGCACCAGACCCCATTACAGATGGTTTTGAGCCACCATGTGGTTGCTGGGAATTGAACTCAGGACCTCTGGAAGAGCAGGCAATGCTCTTAACCTCTGAGCCAACTCTCCAGCCCCGAGACAAATTCTCACTATATATTCCTGGCTCCCTGGAACTTCCTATGTAGGCCAGGCTAGCCTCAACCCCCCCCCCAGAGATCTGTCTGCCTCTGCCTCCCAAGTGTTGGGGCTAAAAGTGTACCCACCATCCTTCTAAAACCCCCAAGTTTCTACCTACTGACTTATTAGTATAGTGCAGTATATATACTGAATCCTTGTTAGCATTGTGGGGTAGACCCCAGATAAGACTGCTCAGACATGGGGGTAAGCCAATAGAAAGCCTTCATCAGTCAGCTGGCAACTCTACTGGTGTTCAGGATCCCGGCATAGCCCCAAGCCTTTCTCAGGGTGAGTTTTTAAAGCATAAAAACAATATCCTGGTTGATATGCTTCAGTTAACAAGAACCGTTAGCCAGAAGCAGAACTACAGAAGCCAAAGAGCAAGGTTAGTGCATTTAGGGACTTTCCCAGAACTATGGGCTTTGATGGATTAGGCTCTGTTTTCCTTTTTGGCAGGTAAACAGTCTGGTCTACATGCTGGATTTTATGATCTGAATGGTATTTCCATCATGGAGTCAGCTGTGCTAAGGACTGTGTGACGGTCCCCACTGGTCCGTCATAGAGTGGGTTGTACTACGGTCTGTGTGCCTATTGTTATGTTAGAAGAATGAAAACCAGTCTAAAGAAAGGCAAGGCAAATCAGGCTTGATTCTGCACACTTGGGATCTCAGAACTCAGGATGATTTTGAAGCCAGAGTAGGTTACAAAGTGAGTTCGAGGCCATCCTGGGCTACAGAGTAAGACATTGTCATAGAGAAAGAAAAAAAAAAGAGGGAGAAAAGGAAGGAAGAGAGAGAGAGTCTAGAGTTACCCAATTTATTTTTAATTTTTTATGTGTATAGGTGTTTTGGCCGAATGTATGTTTGTGCACACACACATGCACGTGTGTGCTTGGTGTCCTCAGAGGCCAGAAGGGGACATTAGGCTCTCAGATGGTTATGAGCTTCTGTGTAGATTCTGGGAATTGAACCCAGGTCCTCTGGAAAAGCAGCCAGGGCTCCTAAATGCTGAACCCCCACCTCCAACAATCTCTGGTTTTGAAGACAAGGTCTTATTAGTCCAAGCTGCCCTGAACCTTGAACTCCTGACCCTCCTACCTGGACCTCACAAGTGCTGGGAACACAAGTGATGTCACCATCTCCAGAAAGTTCCACTGTGTGCATAGGTGGCCTTTGTCACCAGTTCCCGCTCTTAGCTTCACTCTGAACTCCAGATGTGACAATGTTACTAAATCATTTCCTTTATTTCTTGTCTTTCTTGCTCTAAATAATAGTAACTAGCTAACCCCCAGCCCTTCCTCTTTCCAGCTGCCCAGACGGTCAGTCTGGTTCTGTCCCTCACTCACCTCCACTCCTGAGCCAGGCCCCAGCACATGACTCCAGCTCAACCCCTGCCTCCATTCCTCAGGTTACTAAGCTATTTTGGGCAGTGGAGGGTGTGTGCTCCTCTCCTCCTCCTTGGGTCACAGCCCAGCTTAGCTGTTCCTGGATGCCCATCACACCCAATGACCAAGCTCACACCCAATGGCAAGCCAAAACACTAGCTTCCATGTGCCCCTCAGCTGGGTTCAGTTTCTATCTCCTCCCTCTTCCTCTGACTCTGATATAAAGTGCCTGTCCCAGTTGCTGATTTCCTAGGCTTAGAAAACCAACTAACCAACAGACAGTAACAGCAAAAACCAATACTTAGGTGTTGGGTGTGTGATACAATTTTTTTAATATTTATTTATTTATTATGTATACAACATTCTTTCCATGTATGCCTGCAGGCCAGAAGAGGGCACCAGACCTCATTACAGATGGTTGTGAGCCACCATGTGGTTGCTGGGAATTGAACTCAGGACCTTTGGAAGAAAAGCAGGCAATGCTCTTAACCCCTGAGCCATCTCTCCAGCCCCACAATTTTTTTTTCAGTTCGTAATGATGTGGATTAAACCCAAGACTTCACACATGCTAGGCAAGCATTCTATCACTAAAACAAACAAACAAACAAACAAAAACAAAAAAAACCAACCATTTTCGCATGTATATATTTACTGACTTATGTGTGTACTCATAAGCCTTCGAATGCGCATGTGTGCGCCATGGCCTGTGTGTGGGTGAGGGATGACAGCTTTCGGAAGTAGGTTCTCCTCTCCCACTGTATGCGTTCCAGGGGTTAAACTTAGGTCATAAAACTTGGTGACAAGGGCTGGAGAGATGGCCCGGTGGTTAAGAGCACTGTTCTTCCAGAGGTCCTGAGTTCAGTTCCCAGCA